TATTTACTCAAATAATCTTCCTTGATATTCATTTAGATGTGTTTTTATGAGGATTTCTCGAGCGTGGAGACGGAGTGCTATATATAGATTGAGGGAGAATGAAATGGCCTTTTGTAGTGTGAATCCAAATTCAGAACAGTTGTATCGAATACATTATTCAGCTCAAATCAGCTCATTGTTGATTCAGTTCAATATCTATGTATTGTCAATCATAAAGCAGTCAATTCAGCAATGCAGAAGTTCTACAGAAGACAGCTGTGTCGTAAATCCTGCTCAGTTTAGCTGTATTCTTATCCTGTAGTTTGAGTGCTGTGTTACTATTATTTATGTCCCTAACTAAGCAAGCCAAAGAGTAATAGTAGTAGATAACCAGCTTACATTAAACTGTTTGCTGCTTGCAGCTGTGTTAACTGGAAAATCGATGACCGCTGTTTTTGTGATAACACTTGGATCATCATTTTCAATCAGCGTTCTGATTTTTTATCATCATTTCTGGTCTACTATAGTGGTTTAATATGTCAAGTGTTACTTTGTATTTGGTGCACACCAGTGTTCAGGCTTATTTTCTCAAACGTTTTAAGGCATGTAATTATCCTATTTACTCAAAAAATCTGCCTTGATAGTCATTTATCTGTTTTTTTATGAGCTTTCCATGAGCATGGAGACGGAGTGCTATATATAGAGAGAGGGAGAATGAAATGGCCTTTTGTAATGTGAAGTTGAAATGAATTGTTTGCTGAGTTGAAGTATGTTGATGGTTTGGTTTTGTGGGAAGGGAAATCTCATCTGCCTGTTAATGGTGTGATTCAGCTTGAGTAAGTGGTTGGGAACTTCTGAAAGGGTCATTTTATATACAGAGACAGGGGACACTGCTAGTTCTGACGATTGACTTGTTTCCTATTTCACGAGCATGTTTCTTTCTGTCGTTTGAGTAATGTTTCTTGTGATCCTCTTATACGTAAAGGCAATATTTGAGCAATTCTAACGCTTCCTGACACTCGACTAATGTCATCAAGCAAATAGTGGTCGCGAGCTTCAAACGTATTACTGCAAGCAAAGGTAAATAGCTGCTATTGGGGTTGTTAGTTTCCTAGCAACGTTCGTTTTTTTCCGTGACTGACAGAAGCATCAACCTTCAGGACAGAGTCTGGTGGAGTGTTTGCATTTAATCCAGAAGGTAGCAGCGCTACTGCAATCCTTGTCAAAAACCCTTCAAGCATCTCTTCAGCTGTTATTAGTATTGAAATGTGTGAACGTGAAGTGTTGCTTTAGTGTTCTGTTGCAGACCTTCTTCAAATGACCCCTTGAGGTTGTGACCTCTGATGGCGATCCTGCTGTCACATGATTAAAGCTGTCCGCCTCTAATCAAACACTCCTTTCCACCTGCTGTGTGAAACAAAGAGAAGGACACCAGATTTACAACTCCTCATCCACTTTTAGATACACTTGCCTCTTGTTATTGTTTAATGAAAACTTCACCCAAAAACATTAATGCTCAAAAGATTCATCTTGCATAAGGCGCAAGATGTGTTTGGCGCAATTTGTTGCTATTTTCATACCAGCGCAACCCTAATTTTTATGTTTTGCGCCATGTTGTTTAAGGGCCTACTTACACTATGCTATCCGTACCGTGCCCAGGCCCGTTTCCTGGATCGTTTGAGAAGTGTGAGTGCGCTGAATCAAGCTCAGGCACGGTTCACTTGGCCGGCCCTGGCCCGGTTGGAAGAGGTAGAGCGCAGTTCACTTGGGCTTTCAAAACGCGCCAAAGCCCGAAACTGAAAGCGAGCCGTGACTTTTAAGGGACTGTTTCATATGGATTTATTAATCATTCTTACTGTTCTGTGAACTTCCGTAGTTTATTAAATACGCAAACCCCTCACTGCACGACAGCTGCGCACCTTCAGCAAACCTCCTAATTCCTGCAGCACGAGGAACTTATGATTGTTTATGAGCGTTAAAAGTGGCTGATCTTTTCGGCAAAATATCTGACTGCGTGTGATCGCATCCCTAAGGTCTAAAGCGATATAACTAGAGACATCTACACTGTGCTGAGCAAGAGCGCTTACTGAACAGCGCAGAAGCAATGATGTAAGAGTGCCCAGGCCCGATTGTAAAGTGACTGCAGGCCGTCAGGGGACAAGTTTGCTTTGGCCCAGTTCAAGGCAACTGTACATAGTGTGAGTACACCCTAAATAGCAAATCTGTTTGCGCCACTTTGTGGACTCATGGGTGTGCTGGTCTATAAAAGAGGTGCGTTAAGGGGCATTTTTGGCACGTTGCTACTTTGAGAAACTGAAATAGACTCCGCCATTGACCAACTCAAAGCTGGTCTTAAGTCCACCGCAGAGTGCGTTATTTATGCGCCTATGTAGGTTCAAACACTTACACATTGGTTAATACACACAGGAGGCTTTTTTTTTTAGTTTATTCATGACAGTTTGCATTTGTATAATGTTATTATTAGTAGTAGTGGTATTTTTTATATGCTTATTTTTATTTGTTTTAATAAAAACAAGTTATGATTTATCCATCTGTCTGGTTTTTGAGACGTATGCATCAACTTATGGGGCATAAGAATAGGACGTGTGTTTAGATATGAAAATATTTTTGACCACACTTCATTAATTTATTGTTCGTTTATTTGTTTGCTGGAAATTAGAACTGAATTTAGAAATAGTTTTGGAACAAATATTTGCGCTTAACCAACAATGTCTACTCAGTAGAACAGATGGTCTGTTTAAGATGATCTGCCCTTTAAACAGCAAATGCCCCATGGCTCGACGTAGCTGAAACAGAGAATGGAAGTTGAGAGTCTGATTGGTTTAATGCTCAAAACACACCCATAACACGCTAAGAGAGTAAGCATAACCCTGTTGACCATGCGGCAGGGCACAGACCGTATTTTCCCATACTTAAAATAGCAAAAATATATTCGGTTGTGCACTTTAGACTTTGCGCCTAGATCGTTAAAATAGAGCCCAAAGTTTTAAAGCGATACAAGCAATGAATAGTGACAAAAGCTTTGTGTTTGAATAACAGACCTAAACTCAAGTCATTAAATGCACTGCAGTTACTACATTTTTTCCATGCTCAACAAGGCTGCATGTATTTGATCTAAAATACAGTCAAATAAAAGAACCGTTTCCTTTTTTAATATAGTTTTTTAAGTGTTATTTACTGATGTGATTCAGAGTTCAATATTCCAGCCTTCGGTGTCTTATGATGCAGTAGAAATCATATTAATATGCTGACTCAATAATTTTATCAGTTGTTTGGCCAACTAGTTTACCATTTTGTAAGTCATTTAGCTCATATTTTTACATTTATAATCTATAAATCTAATAAATTCAAACTAAATGAAATAGTTGGCTTTTTTAAGATAAGAAATCATATGATTCGATAAGATTGTAAAAGTTTTTTTTGTCTCAAATTCTGATGAAAAAGTGTCAATTTTAAGATATAAACTAAGAATTTTGTTGTATCTTGGCAAAATTATGGGTTTACGCTGTGAAATAATTGCCAGATAAAAACTCTAGCTGACAAATTAATTAGCAAACTGTGAAACATTAACATAATTATAATATGTAATAAATATATTTAATATATTTATTTAATTTATTTAATATATTTAATATTACTATATTATAAATATATTATAATGAAACTCAGAATTCTGAGAAAGTCAGATTTGTGAGCTGTAAACAGAATTGTGAATCGCAGATTTAACAAATTAATTTTTTCAAGTCCATTGACTTTGATTTTTTTAAGTCATTGTCTTTTTTTAGGAATTTATAATGAGAGTAATTTTACTTTTCAACTGGGATTAAAAGTTCAGTTTAACTTTTTAATTTAACCTGTTGCAGAAAGGGACTTCCATACAATAATGTCTTAAAGGGATAGTTCAGCTAAAAGTTCAATTCAGCCCCATATATTCTCCCTCATGTGGTTTTAAAACTTTATGATTGTCTTTTTTCAGTAGAACACAAAAGAAGTTATTATGAAGAATGCTCTTTGCTGGCGCTTATTGACTTCCACAATAGGAAAATAACCTTCTATGGAAGTCAATGTGTGCCAGAAAACAGCATTCTTCAAAATGTCTTCTTTTGTGTTCACCAGAAGGAAAAAACTGGAAAAGAAGGAAAAAACTACAACAGAATGTTTATGTTTGGGTGAACTATCCCTTTAAGTACACACGATGCAGCCTTATCTGGACTAATATAAGTGTTTGTTTTTTTGTTTGTTTTTGTTTAGTTTTTGTCCTGAAATCCGTAATCTTTTCCAGTTGTATTTACATTTGGCCACTTCTGTTTTTATTGTTATTTTTTTTTACTGGTATCTGGTCATGAAAGGAACAAGTATACATGCTTTCCAAGACATCTTTGTGATCGATGCTGTCACCATCTAAAGTCTTTTAGGAGCGGAGCCGTCCATACATGAGCAGTCATTGATGGCACGCGTGGATGGAGTGACTGTGATCGCCATATTGGATGAACATAACAGCATCACAGAAGTCCACTGAGTCACATTTGCATTCAGTGCATGAATTATGCATTGGATTTGTGTCCATTTTGTGGCGAACCATTTTTGTGTGAACATAAATTGGGCTTGAGCAACAGTAGATTGTGTTTTTAGTTGTTTTTTATTGTGATTTGCTGTAAATAGATGCAACAGAGATCATTAAAACAGACATTTAAATGCAATCAACTGAATTGTCCTGCTTTCTATTTCCACAATTGTCACACATGCAATAACAGATGTGTGCAGTATGAGTCAGTGGTCAGTGTGTTTGTGTGGGGATTCCGGCAGTGATGCTGAATGTCCGCAGACTCTCCCACACACATCAGCCCATCAGTCGCTTACATAAGTTGTGTTTCTACAGCTCAAAAACAGAACTTGTTCAAACTATGTGCATTATCAGCACTGCTGAAGAGCCATCACGCATGATGGTGTGTGAAGAGTGATGAGTTAATGATCTGTGTGTGTGTGTTTGTGTGTTGTAGAGATGGAGATGAGCTGAAGAAGTCTCTGTCTGAACTGGCGGATAAGAACCATCACTCTCACAGTAAGAGCATCAGTCGCATCAGCAGCGGCAGTAACCCCTTCCTAGACATCGCACACGACCCCAATGCTGCCGTCTACAAAACTGGCTTTTTGGCCCGCAAAATCCATGCCGACATGGACGGGAAGAAAAGTAAGATTTACACATTTCTGCTTGATTATATTTGTATTTTTTTTTCTGAAACTATCATTTGGGGGACGTGTATGTACAATGAACTTGATCTAGGAGCCCGAGCATGACTGGAATACTGTGAAACTGTATTATGTTTATATATATATACACATACACACCATAGTGACATCCAAGATTTTACATTATTCTACATCTTCTAAAAATGGGCTTAATAGGTCCCCTTTAATGGTACCAAACCTCTTAGATGTTGTGTCAGGTCCATTTAAATGAAAACATATATATGTGTGTGTGTGTGTATATGTTTTCATATAAAAAAACACACACATTATATATATATATATATATATTGTCTAATAAACAACCCATGGCTGGAAAAAATACTTTTAGATTTCAAAGAAAATAACTTAATATTAAAAAGGAAATATACGTTTGATCCTATCAATGTCATAACGAAAGCCCTTAAGTAATGTAGCCTAGTGGTCTGCAAGCATCAGTGTTTATTGAAAGTGACATGAGGTAAAAAATAAACATTGAAATAATTAAGAAAAAAAATATTGTTATAGCTTCACTTGTGACTGCTTTGGGAAACAGCGCTCATCGTAGATGTCATGGGATGACTCATAGTGAAGGAAATTTCTCACACGCACCTGGAGGGAAAGAGTGTCTGATCTGCTCCACTAGCCGTGCAAGCACCACTCCCAATACGCGCACGTCTTTATTGGAAATAATAACTTGCGTGCGGGAAAACACGCAATATGTGAACGGCCTGCTGCTATAGTTATTCAAATGTGCGTGCGTATTAGTCCCGGTATAAGCTTGAAACTTTAAACTAGCGCAGAAATGGCATAATTTTTTTTTGTCTCAGCTATTTTTGTTCCGTGCAACAGAAACGCGACGTTGAGAAGCCTTTACGATTAATTAACTGTAATGAATTAAAGCGCGGTTAATAATGAAATCAACTAATCATTGCATCCCTATTAACAATATCAGTGCATTGTACAAAAGGCCTTCTCTACAAACATATCTAAAAGATTTCTGCTGCCCGCACCACTCGCTTAATGTCAGGTGACTCACACCACGCGCTGACTTCAACTTGAGCTCTTGCTGTATTGAACAGACGGCCGTCACTTCATAACTATAGCAGATGTTTTTAGACTGAACTGAATTTATTCTTGATGTCTTGGTCACACTACTTGGAGGGCTGGAACAAATTGCCTTGTGGGCCGGGTTCGGCAATTGAATAGCCTAGGATTGGGCGATGTCAACCATTTTGGCCTTCTAGTTGCACTGAATATGGAAATAAGTGTGGGCCATTTCTGACGACTTTTAAAGGACATCCACCAATAAATCAGAGCTTACGTAATTGAAGGTCAAAATAAGAGAAAAAAAGGTTCATTTTTGTTATTATATGACAATTTTTCTTTAACAAAAAAATCACCTCAAGGAACATAATGCAATATTGCAAATTGCCAGTCATGAACCCTTAAAAAACTATGATTTATGATAAAAGCATTTCTTTCTTTTAAACTAAAGATACATTTGGCTAAAAAGTAGCTCAGGTTGTTTGAATAAACGGTTATTTTTGTAATAGTTTATTTGTTTTTGCTGTAATTAAAAGACTTTCTGATAAGTAGGTTATATATTTACGACTCTTCATAACTAAAGCCTGTGGGTATGCAGGAAATGATTGGAAAGATCATTAAATAAATGCTGTGTAATGTGATCGAGGATAAAGCAGGTGTGATTCAGAGCTTTGGCAAGCACACATGGTGAAATGGGATTTTGGCTGTAGTCTCTCATATATTATGTCCACTTATTTCCCCTTCCTAATGAGATTCTAGATACACTACAAAACCTGCTGAGCTGTTTGTGTCTGTTTGAAGAGATGAACTGATTACAGCTTGAACAGCAAGAGTGTGTGTGTGTGTGTGAGGGTAAAAAGGTAAATACTGAGAGTTTGTCATCCTAGTATTATGGTCTGCTTTAAATTAAATGAATTACTTTTACAAAATGGATAAAAAAAACATATTAAATGTAAATAATTGATTATCATGATTTTGTTGATTTTTAAGTTTTGTTTAAAAACTTGGTTTAGCTTCAAATAAGTTTTGTAAAAAACAAAAAGCCAAAAAACAAAAATGGATTATGTTACGATTGACCGGGTGGATGGAGGCAAAAAGTGTCACAGAAGCCGCTTGTGAAAGTGAAGAGTGATTATTGGGAGCATTTGATTCATCACGACTTTTGATGAGCAACTGAAGAATGATGCTGTGTTCACACCAGACGCGGAAGGAGCGTCAATCGCAAGTGATTTACATGTTATGTCAATGCAAACGCGCGAATAGACATCCATCTGCGCGATGCATGCGAATGGCACTGGGCAAACTGCGCGAATTGCCCTGCGTGATTGACGCGAATTGCCCTGCGTGATTGACGCGAATTGCCCTGCGTGATTGACCCGAATTGCCCTGCGTGATTGACGCGAATTGCCCTGCGTGATTGACGCGAATTGCCCTGCGTGATTGACGCGAATTGCGCGAATGACGCTGCGTGAATGCTGCAATATGTACGAATGACGCGTCGTGAATTGAGCGTTTTGCACGTTTTTCGCAAATCGCTCGAATTTAAAAATCTGAACTTAAGCGGACATTCGCACCGTGTTAACCAATTCAGGAGCTTGCTTTTGTGGGGGCGTGATTGTGAGTTACGCATGTTCTTGGTGTCCCGGGGAAAATCCTCCAGCCGACACCGACAACAGTTCCTCAAACTGGGCTGGATTAGTCAGATGCACAGCTGAAAGCCTCCATCATCCAGGTGAAGTTTCTGGAGGAGTTTATGAGCTCATAGAGCTCTTAAAGGATCTAGTGGACTCAGACACGGCCCTAAACGCATCGACGCTGTTTTTCAGCCTTCATAAAACACATAAACATTTTATTTTCTTAATAAAATTCAAGTTAGCCATTTAGCAACGAAGCTAGAGTCACCAGGCAGACAGAAGCCCTGCCCATCACGCGAATCGGCGTCTGTTCTGAAGTGAATTTGACTTGAGGTGCAAATGAAGCAAGTAAACTCAAATGTTCATGCAGCTGTTTACGCGCAAATAGCGCAATTTATCACAAAAACATTAATGTACTTTCGCGGAAGTGACAAACCCTAAAAATTGAAAGCTTTTATCTTTTAAATGCAAATTTTATAACTTTTTTTTGAGCTCACTAGATTATAGATTACCCTAAAACTAACTAATGATTGAAACTTTCAACTTTCATCCCTGTTTGTAGTTTTAATCAAACTCACATCCAACACACAGTATATTTTGGGCGATATTAGCAGTTAAAATACACACACATTTCTACTGGAAACTTTGAAATACTCATTTGTACATACTAAAATTTGGGACGTACCTATTCTATTTCCGATTACTATTTAGGTCAAGTAGTTTATGAAGCACGAGCACAAATGTTAGAACAGTAGTCTATGTTTAAACCTGTCTAACAGAGTGAACTGTCTGAAGTGGTAACCTACTACCCTCCACTGCTTTGTGATTTACTGTCCAGCGCTGGCAGTTTAGTGGGCACAGCACACTCCAGTCTTCAATACCAGCCATGCCAATGTGGTCTAATGAGCGCGTCCGTGGCAGTATTGCAATGAGGATAAAAACAGCAGGGCTTTAGTGATCTGCCGCATCACATGCTGAGAGCATTCAGGCCCGAGTCCCAGAGGTGCCATCAGTAAGACACGCCGCGCTTCCCAGAACTCAGTCTGTGTGTGGCGTAAAGGCTTTTGGAAGATTCCCAAAGCTCCTATAGCACTGCCGTAAATAAAGCTGTCCTACAGACACACTGTCAGGGGAGTCATTTGACATATGAAATGTAAGTAATGCCCTTCAGAGGTGGAACAGAGCGCTGAAATGTTTCACTCCGAAAAGAAAATGTTCACCCTACAATTGACCCTTTCAGAACATTCATCATTTACTCGCCCTCAAACCATTCCAGACCCATACGAATTTCCTACATCAGTGAACCACAAAAGCTGTTTAAAGGATGGTCATGTTGCTTTTTTATGTACTGTAAAAGTGATTTAACAAATGATGTTGAGCTACAAAAAGCATTATGAGCTGACTTTCCCAGGGGTTTGCTTCTATTACATCTAAATTTAGATCTGTAATTTTATTGAATAATATTGAACAATATCATGTTGATAGGTTGGTATTTATATTATTATTTAGAAAATTGTTTCTATTTAGTTAAATAATTCATCCGATTCTACAGTTTATACTAATACTGTAATTATTCATCTTTACTCATACAGTTGAACGTAATTTCCCTCCTGGGAAATTTTAACAGAGCAAGGACATTTTCACATTATTTCACAGGATTATTTTCAATAATATATTACTTTTTTCTGGAGAAAGTCCTATTTTTATTTGATTTTGGTTTGTCTTGAATAAAAGTTTCATGTTGTTTTTATTTTTAAGAACAAAATTATTAGCCCCCATTAAGATTATTATTTTTTTTATTTTTTTTATTTATTTTACTTTTTGATTGGTTACAGAATTTTGTCTAATTAACAAAACGTGCCTATTTATCTTTAATAACTTCGCTAAGACAGAGTGTGCGCGACGTGTCTGAAGAGCGAGGAGGGATCCGCGGGTGAGACGGGTGCGCAACTTATTTGAGGATTAGGAGGGAGCTGCGTGATTTCCAGGGTCCGGTTTTTCAAAAGGTTTAATCCGGAAAAAATTGATCCAGATTTAGTAATCCTGTTTTTGCGATCCGTGATCACGTAATCCAGCTTACTTTTTGAGCCAGTTTTTCAAAGCAACATTGGATTGGATCTATCTGATCCGGATAGGAACTTTTCAGGATCACTAAATCTGGATTACCAGCGCTCAATCACAATGTAGATAGATAGATAGGCCTATGTAAAGAGCAACAAGTAGAATAGCCAGTGTGGGGTCAATATAACTTTATTTTTATTTGAAATGAAAACTAAGAACATTTTATAAATAATAAAATAATTATAATGATAAATAATAAAAGCAAGAAAACCCCCACCACATCCTCTTCCAGCAGTCCGCTCATCTGAGATCTATCTTTATAATAAGTTTTAAATATAGATGTATTGAATAAAAAAAAAGAAAATGTTGAAACCTCAACAATAATGTCAGACTTCCTCATCTGATGTGGAGGGAGCAGCTTGTCTGAGTGTATTCTTTAGGAGGCAGATCTCAAGTGTGGTCTTGGTTTGCGGCAGTTTGGTCAGAGTCAGTTGTTCCTTTGCCAGATGAAGCTGAACTTCTGCCCAGTCTCTTTTTACAATTGTATATAAATATAGTAACAGAATAAAATGTATTGTTTTTGGTAAATTTTGACAGCTGTTTGGGGGATTATTTTATGAGGCCAAACTCTTTCTATTTTGCTGTAGGCCTATATTGAAAGTCTAAATACATTAAAGCCAATAATCACTATAGCCTGACAGATGAACAAATAAAATTAAAACCTTATGAATAAATAGTATATCTCGTAAGATACTGCATGATCCAAATATAGTTTTATTTAATAATTTTTTTAAGTTTTCATTCCATTTTGGCCATGAAATCAACGCTAAATCCACCCTTCTGATGGGATCAGTTTAATCCACGTTTTTTGGATCAAAGTGATCCAGATCCTACAAAAAAGGTCTGAAAAACCCAAATTAAAGGTTTGATCCGGATCAAAACCAAGATTGGATTACGTGATCTAATCCGATTATGTAATCTGTTTTTTCTTTTGAAAAACCCATTTTCAGGATTTGATCCAATCCCTTATCCAAAACCCTAGTGGATTACTTTTGAAAAACCGGGCCCAGGAGATTATCACTTATTTGCGGACATTTAACAACATTTCAAGAGTTCACACTTAGATATTGCTTGACAACTGTAAGCAGGTTTGGCATGCTGTCCCGGGAGAGAACCCTGAGCTCGGAGATAGTTGAGCCCAGGGCTCCCGCCAGGTCCATCGAGCATGTGAGAGATCAGGTGGTTCTCGAGAGCTCCCCTTTTTTTGTAAAGGAGAAAGGGGGTGGATGGGGGGTTTCTTCGGAAAACGAAGATAAGGGAGTAATATCTAGCTAGGCTACTTATAGTGAGTTAGGATAGATCTGATTGGCTAACTAATGAGTGCAGATAGGTGGCCAGCTGCAGTCAATTATATCACGTGCTCCTCTCGAAATTAGTTTAAAAACTTAACAACTTAACACTTAACAACACCAAATTTCACCATCTATAATTCCAAATAATAACTCAAGTATAGCAGTCTAACAACATTCTGTCACTCGATGACTCTCAAATCCCCTGTCAGAAGAGTCTAGTGGCTGAGAATGGGCTTTTTACAGTGTCTGCTATAATGTTAATGTTGTTTTCATGTGTTTACATAGATGAATTACATAGATGAATACATGAATATGGCCACTGGGTCACACTTTACAATAAGGTTCATTAATTAATGTTAATTAATGCATTAACTAACATAAACAAATAATGAACAATACATCTACTACTGTATTTGTTCATGTTAGTAAACGTTAGTTAATGAAAATACAGTAGTTCATTGTTAGTTCATGTTAACTCATGGTGCATTAACTAATGTTAACAAGCATGTCAATAATGCATTAGTAAATGTTCAATTATGATTAATAAATGCTGTACAAGTGTTGTTCATGATTAGTTTATGTTAGTAAATGCATTAACTAATGAACCTTATTGTAAAGTGTTACCGGCCACTGTGTAAATACACAGTACAGTTACTATCTTATTACCATATTATATCATTATCACAACATGATATCATTGCCTTCTGTGATTTCCTGCAGATAAATACCAAAAAATAACTCAACTGAAATCACTACAGTAATCGCCATCGTCGATCTCATATAAAGCAAGAGATCACTGATGACATATGATGACGTGTGCAGGTGTTGTAGTGCTGTTCCATTTCTTAGGGCTAAATTTTGAGGCTCTTCCTCTTCACTTTTGTTTCAAGGACCAATAGGAAGGGGAAGGGGTTGAGGTACAAAAATAGAGTTGGGATTGGGCCTATAAGTTGAACCAGGTTAAATCTGCATTTTAAAGAATAAAGTAGGTAAACGGATATTGCTTTGGTGCAACTTATAAATAATATTACATAATATATAGTTTCTACAAAGATTACTTTAGATTTGTTCCTTAGCACCATTGTTCCATGTAAAAATCTACTTTTATTAGTCCTTTCTGGCCAAACAGCTTAGGTCACTGTGAACTGTGACTAAATGACAAAGAGTAGCGTATCATTATTACGCAGATTATATTTTGTAATGACTTTAATATACTTATTTCTTTGTATTTTCTCTAGCTCCAAGAGGAAAGCGAGGCTGGAAAACCTTTTATGCTGTTCTCAAAGGCATGATCCTCTACTTGCAGAAGGTTTGTTGATTCCCTCTTTCATTTTCCTTCCTCACACTGCTGATTAATCAAATTTCCATCATTTCCCACAAACATTGTCGATAATAATTCAATTTCTCCTCTAGGAGATTCCAATTGCGAAAAGTAATCACATTCACATTTATTTCAGGACTGACAAACCTTTTCAGCAGGCGTCAAAGAAAAAAAAGCGTTCCAGCGCCCACATTCTCCATTACAATAGTTTATTTATGTGCTCCGTTTGAACTTGCATTAGTTGCTTAGCAGTGCAGTCGTGCAGAAGTCTAAGGCATGAAATATTGGCGTGGAGGAAGGCCGTACCTGTTCATGCATTTGTGCTGGTGACTGCTTGTACCCGCAGCCACAGGTTTCCACGGCATTATCAGCTAATGATGTGCAGCAATCACACCAATGACTCTCATCAGAGGAACAGGAAATATGCTTGATGGCTTTCTCATTATCATTTCAAACTGATGTGTTACTTTGTGCGAAACGCAGTACACCAAACGTATTGTTTTTGTACACTTAAAATCACAAGTGTAAGATTATTTTCATTAAAATTATCCAAAAACCACTAGAACAGTTTTATATTTTGCTGACTTATCTACTTATATCATCTCAAATGTTATGAAGAATGTTCAAAACAATTTTAAATAGCGAGACAGACATGTGACCATTATAATGACTTCATTCATTGATGTTCCGGTTTGGTTTTACAGATAAATTTGAAACACCACAGCTGCTTTAATATGTTGTGTGTTTTATTAGACTGCACAGACCAAACATTATAACAGAACGGTTAAATCTATTTAGTATGATAAAACAGTGCTGCTTTATCTACACATGATCACGAGCAGAAGAAGTGGAGGCAGTGGGCTGTGGCATAATAAAAGCTCTGCTGCTTTCGTGTCGCGTCATGTGCGTCTCTCATCAGAAATTGCTTCAATATTTTTATTACTCTTTGATGGTTTTCAGCTTTACTTTGCTTCATACTACTAAAATAGTACATTTTGAATTGACAGACAAGGAATGAATGAGCAACTCATGCATGAACGTGATTTCTGCAGGAGTCTTGTAGGATTTAATGAAGATGACAACTCCCATGATTTCACACTCAGTCACAACGTCATCAAAATGCATCTTTGTTTGTCGTGAGTGTGCACTCTCTAGCTGTGAAAATTTCATACTGTACTTTTAAAGGGTCATGACCCCCCACCCCTCCTGTTGCAGGGGGTTTTCACACCTCTAGTTTGCAAAAAGTCAGGAAAGTGGATGAGTCCAGCTCTGTTTAGGTGGGAGTGTCGGGGGAGGGAAAGAGGGAAGGGTTTGCATAAAAATGGGAGTTTTTGGTTCGAGCATGCGCTGATTTTCAAAGGCAAAACAACTCTCAAGTCATTCCAATCCCTAAGACCTTTGTTAATAGGTTGCAGCAATTTCAAGAAGGTGACGTGGTGGCGCAGTAGGTAGTGCTGTGGCCTCACAGCAAGAAGGTCGCTGGTTTGAGCCTCGGCTGGGTCAGTTGGCATTTCTGTGTGGAGTTTTTATGTACTCCCCACGTTCGCTTGGGTTTCCTCCGGGTGCTCTGATTTCCCCCACAGTCCAAAGACATGCGGTACAGGTGAATTGGGTAAGCTAAATTGTCCGTGGTGTATAAGTGTGAATGGGTGCTCTGATTTCCCCCACAGCCCAAAGACATATGGTACAGGTGAATTAGGTAGGCTAAATTGTCCATAGTGTATAACTGTGAATGGGTGTGTATGGATGTTTCCCAGAGATGGGTTGCAGCTGAAAGAGCATTTGCTGCGTAAAACATGTGCTGGATAAGTTGGCGGTTGATTCCGCTGTAGCGACCCCAGATTAATAAAGGGACTAAGCTGAAAAGCAAATGAATGAATGAATGAATGAATTAACAATTTCAAGACAAAGTTCAAAAAGGTAACCAGAAACATTTCATGTGTCTTCATTGGTTTAAATGGGGTCATACAAAGCTTCAAGAGCACTTTTGTGCACAAATAAGCTACTTCACACATTTCTACCACATTGGATAGAGTGCATGTTTATAGGCAGTATCATGCTTATGTGTTAAGCCTTATTCACACTACGAGTGACTCGCAGCAGCACAGTGACAAGCAACCGCTCGTTTCAAACCGCTCCGTCTACTCGAGCAACCGTTGGCGTTGGTGTGTTGAGCAACGCGACAATGTTGACAATCCTTCAACTTTATGCAAATGAAAAGCGACTTTCTTGAGCGTCAGCAAAAAGGAGCACCGATAGAGCTCACGTGATCCTCTCTCAGCTCACTCAGAGGCCAGTTGTATTCGTGCTGTATATACCCAGGGATTTGCAGTATTGATGATACAAGTATTTCAAATACGTATTTCAAATACAAAATAGTATTTTATAATTTGCATTCAATGGGGTTTATGAAAATGTGTTAACATTTTGTATTAAAATACTTAAGTGTCTTGAATTTTTAAATACTGTAAAATACTTTGTGTGAAGTCTACATGATGACATAATAAAAATGCAGCCTAAGATTGGAGTTTTCTCAGTTTGGCTTGAGATCAGAACAGAAAAGTGACTAATATTGAGGAGGATGGTCAATGATTGGAGTATTGATAGAAATTATGCAACACACATAAAGAAAGTAACTGGCAAATGGTTTATGTATATTTAGCAGCAAGTCAACAATCATTGATATAATATACCGTTTATTTCACTATGTCAGTTTATTGATGAAGAGATTGATTGAATAGGCCTATTGATAGAAGGTTTGTGAAGAAATTTGATGCTCCCTTGGAAAAAGATTTGGTAGTATTTTCAAAATACAGTATTTTATTTTGATACTTGTTATTTTGTAGTTTGTTTTGATGCATGTACAATTGAGGTATTTGGTATTTTATTTTAAAATACATTTCAATTTATTTTTGTCTATCCCTGTATATACTTACACAGACCTGCATTTACAGCAGGTTGCCACCCAGAACTACAGGCAGCTACAAAGTCGCTGCTAGTGTGAATGAGGCATTACGCTGCTAATTCTAATGTCAATATGTTGAACTGCCTGTAGTAAACACACAACAATGAAGTCACATAGAATATTTTGATAATGTCTCTGGTTCCTTTTCATCAAAGATGAAGGTGAAGACCATTTTTACCTGAAACAGTTGCCCTTTGTGATTTATCTAATGCATTTTAATGGTTCCCAGCAGTGAGAGTAAAAAAAAAAACTTTTTAAAACTTTCAAAAACAGCTCATGTTCGCTGTGGTGAAAAACTTAGCTCTCTTACTTGCCAGACAAAGTGAGGAACGCACCTCCTGGGGCAGTCTAATAACTCTTATTTTTATGGTAATTACTTCATGAAGTATAATGAAAGACATTCAAAGCTTAATCCTCAATAGAAGTTTTGAATATAAATTTAATGTGACTAATTCAATTCACTCCAGTCATATATGAATGGTCAGAGTGACCGCTGTGCCTGTTCTAATGGTTCTAGTGTTAAATGAAATTAAGTAAGGTTTATTTATAAACTTAATTCGAGAGAATCACAGGCTTATGATTGACCACAGCTGGTCCTGCATTAACTAATACATGATTCTCCAATCAGACGATTCCTAAGTCACTATAAATGACCATAGTCTTCATACCACAGTCGTCTTCAACCTGAAGAATCCCTCTTTTCTCCCCTATTCCTCCCCCTTTTTTATAGATTGGGCGGCATGGTGGCCCAGTGGTTAGCACTGTTGCCTCACAACAAGAACATCGCTGGGCCAGTTGGCATTTCTGAGTTTGCTTGTTCTCCCCGTGCTTGCGTGGGTCCCATGCTTCCCCCGTGTTCCCCAGTTTCTTCCCACCCTCCAAAGACCTGCATCATAAGTAAATTGACCAAGCCAAATTGGCACCATAGTCAAGTTCCTAGCCTATAGTATTTTTCCCTCATAAAGCAATTCGTCATAAGCCACAAATAAGCGGGAGATTTCTTGAGATCTACCTGAGCTCAATCTACTCTCTCGCCCTGCAAACAAGAGGGAGCCCAGGGCTTGAGGAACTTTTGAGCTCAGGGCTCTCTCCCTGGACAGCATGTCAAACAAGCTTATAATCAATCATCAGCTAAGTGTGAACTCTTGAATAGATATAAATGTTAAATTCCTCAGGCATTGTTCACCGTGCATGCTGTGTGTGTTTGTTTTTGCAGGATGAGTATAAGCCGGAGAAGGCCCTATCAGAGGACGATCTGAAGAATGCCATCAGTGTGCATCACGCTCTCGCCATCAAGGCTATGGACTACGAGAAGAAGCCCAATGTCCTCAAGCTCAAGACTGCTGACTGGAGAGTTTTCCTCTTCCAGGCCCAGTAAGAGCCGCTCGCAGACACCTGCACATCTAAAGCAGAGGAACAGGCCTGAAACACTGTTCCCAACTCCAAATCTAATTTCATGCTTCAGTTCAAGCTCAATTAAAGCTCATTTATCTCTTCAATTGGTCCGCCTGCAGACCTTTTATTTCTTTCTTAAGGATGACTGATCTCATCCTGTGAGTTTGCACAACTAACGTGGCCTCCTCATTTGAACTTATAAAATCTCTTTTCTGCAGGAGCCCTGAGGAAATGGAGTCTTGGATTAGAATAATCAACTCGGTGGCGGCCATGTTTTCTGCCCCATCTTTCCCTGCTGCCATTGGCTCTCAGAAGAAATTCAGCCGCCCGCTGCTGCCGGCGACCACCACTCGAATGTCTCAGGTAGGGCTGTGCAATTAATTAAAATTCTGTATGGATTTTGGCCTCCATCAATTATGAAAAAAAACAATCACATATACTGCATCCCTTTCCAGCAGTCCACATTCATATTCAATTCATCTTAATTTGTATAGCACTT